TCAGGATGAATTCCGTCGGAAGTGCCAAAATTCATTCAATTTGTGCTGATGGTGGCCATTTGGGGCACAAAAAATCTGTAATCGGATAAAGATATATATGGAGCATGTGAGAGATATTAACACCAAATCGTATAAAACATATATATGGGAGCTATGGCTATAACTGAACCGGTTTTCACCAAATTTGATTTGCTTGTAGACTGAATTCGGTCGGGTGTGCCAAAATTCAATCCATTTGCGCTGATATTAGCCATATGGTGTGCAATAAACCTGAAATCGGATAAGGATATATATGGGAGCAATATCCTAATCTGATCCGATTTTGATAAAATTTGATAGAGGTATTTTTGAGCTCCATAAATTATCTGCTACCAAGATCATTGTTGTGGAGCACATATTATGCATGTGAGGGGCTTTAACCCCCAAATCGGATGAAACCTACATATGGGAGCCATAGCTATATCTGAATCGGTTTTCACCAAATTTGAATTACTTATTTTTAGGATGAATTTAGTTGGGTGTGCCAAAATTCAGGTTATTTGGACAGATATTGGCCATTTGGTGCACAATTAACTCGAAATCTGTATATACACTGGTGGCCAAAACTAAAGCAACTGAAATTACAAGAAGAATGATTGCTCTGTAACTTGTTTAAAAATTAAGAGAATCAGAGAGTTTTTCTAGTTTTAAGTTAGGCACGTTATTTAATTTTATAAAAACTTTAAACAACAAACCAAAATTCATTTTTATATAAAAAATAATGTATGGTAAAGTCAAATAACCCGAATTTGGCTTGGACAAAACAAAATCAACTCTGTTGTATATTCGTATGATCGCTTCAATTTCAATTATTTTAACTTTTATATCTATTCCTTGTTGCTATCTTCAATTTACAATTGCAATTTCGCCTGTCATAAATCATTTTTGAGAAGTTTTTTACAACAGTATATGTTTGTTTTCGTTTTTTAAGTACTGCCCAAAAAGTTTAAAAATAGCTATTTGTGATTTCTGTGATTTCCCGTATACAAAGTCGGTTTTATGAAACTGGATCAGCAGTAACAGTCTATAACGGATAAAAGCCGTGAAAATTTCAGCCCGACTGATCAACAAATTGTGAGGAAAAAAAACAACCATTTAAGAGTTCAACTGGATTGGTGAGAGAGCTATCATTGGATATAAGCTGGAGATCAGTGCGTAGACGAGTAGTGGCAGCTGGTCTGCATGCCCGTAAGCCATCAAAAAAGCCATTTATATCTGGAAAAATCGGAAACCCATGATAACATTCGGAAACGATAATATTATTTGGAATGCAGCTCAATGGAAAAATATTATATTCTGGGATGAGTCTACGTTTTAAATTAAAGGCTCAGACATGAAATATATTACGGTGATAAGACCAAAAAATGAAAGAGTCAAGCCGCAATGTTGCAAGTGTAGCAAAGGTAGGGTGAAGCATGAGGGAGGGTCAAAAATGGTGTGGCGCTGTTTATACCCTACACCACAGGGTGGTCAGGGTATTATGTCTTTGTGCATTTGTTTGTAACAGGCAAAAGGAAACGAGATAGACCCATAGTTCCTTTTGATGATCTGCATAGAATCACATTCTGAGTCGATTTATGCATGTCCGTCCGTCCGTCTGTCCGTCCGTCCGTCCGTCCGTCTGTCCATGTATTTTTGTAAACAAAGTACAGGTCGCATTTAATGCCCGATCCAGATGAAATTTTGCACAGATCATTTGTTTGGTCCAAGGACGAACCCTATTGAAATTGGAGATAATCGGTTAAAATTTAGATATAGCTCCCATATATATCTTCGTCCGATTTGCCTTTTATTGTGCACCAAACGTGTAATATCAGCCCGAATTGTATGGAATTTTGCACATACAACCAAATTAGACCTGAAAATAAGTATGCCAAATTTTATCGAGATCGGTTCAGATATAGCTGTAGCTCCCATATATATTGTTCATCCGATTTGTTATTTTTGTCCACCGCCGCCGTAATATGCACTCTGCAACAACAATATTTGGGGAAATATATCAAATACAGCTCAGAAATACATTTGCAAAATTTTATCGAGATCGGTTCAGATTTGCATATAGCTCCCATATATAACTTCGACCGATTTACCTTTTATTGTGCACCAAACGTCTAATATTTGTCCAAATGGGATGGAATTTGGCACATACGACCGAATTGAGTCTAGAAGTATGTCAAATTTGGTGAAGATCGGTTCAGATATAGCTATAGCCTCCATATATATTATTCATCCGATTTGTTATATTTGTTACCCACAACCGTAATATGCACTCCGTAACAACTATATTCAGGGAAATATATCAAATACAGCTCAGAAATATCTTTGCCAAATTTTATCGAGATCGGTTCAGATTTGGATATAGCTCCCATATATATATTTATCCGATTTCAAATTAATTGTGCACCAAATGGTCAATACAAGTCCGAATTTAAAAGATACAAATGCTTCGGCATGTTTAGTCCTTTGAACTTTAAATTATAATTATAATCATAGCGTGTATGATTGAATTCTCCCATAAAAACTTTTAATTGTTATGTGGAGCTCTACTAAATTAGCAAAGTGGTGTAGGGTATCATAAAGTCGGCCCCGCCCGACTTTAAGACTTTCTTTACTGGTTTTCTTTCTATGAACTTGGGCCTATCCATGGAATAAAGGAAGTTATGGATTGGTTTGTTTAGAAAGATTGTTGTTCCCTTTCGCTGAGGAAAATATTCAGCTTATTTTGGTGTTTCAGCATGACAATGATCCAGCATCAAAACTTGTCAAAGATGGTTGCGTTAGTCAAAAATCGGTGTTTTGTCATGGCTGGCAAAATCACCTGGCCTAAACACCATAGAAAACCTTCGGAAACAAATAAACACAACATATTCCAAAGAGTTCAGGGTGCCTGGGAAAGCATACCCAAGGATCAAATTAAGCATGTTATAAATCAATGTCTCGTAGGTGTGCAGCTGCTATCAAAAATAATGGATATCCTTTCGACTACTAGCCAAAATTTAATTATTTGAAAATAAAAAATCAAAAAGTTGCTTTAGTTCTGACCAAACAAAACTTGGGTCATTTTAGTTTTCCATATAATATTCTTCATTCAAAATTATTTTTGTATTTTAATTTTTAGTTTTTTAAAAGTGAATAAAGTACCACTTATTACTTTGTTTATTTTTGTAAAAGTTACAGGGTATTTGTCTTTGCGACTTCAGTTGCTTTAGTTTTGGCCACCAGTGCATATATATGGGAGCTATATCGTTATTTCAACCGAGTTCGTCCTTGGGCCAAACAAATATTGCTTGCAACATTTTATCTCAATCGGATAATAATGGCATTTGCATTTTGTTCACAAAAATGACTCAGAAAGTCATTCTATGACGATCTTCAAAAATAAATATGGGTCTATCTCGCTTCTTTCTCCATGTTACAGACAAATGCACAAAGTCATAATAACCTTACCGTTATGTGGTGTAGGGTATAAAAATGCGATAGCAATTTCTATTTCTTTACAATCTCTACTTTATTTATGTATTGTTTGTCAAATTTGTATTTTGTTTATATTTTTCTTTCTACTGGGAGTTTGACATAAATCAACGCAACTGTAAATTGAAGGTGTGCCTGGTTACTCTAAAATTTGTAACAATTGTTACAAATTGTTACTGGAAGTCGTCTGTTAACCCGAAAGTTCTGCAAAAGAGAGCGGTTGGAGAGAGAAATTTTGACAGTTCTTTCAGTGAGAGTTTGCAAATTCTTGCTGGACAAATTTCTTCTTGCAATCACTTGCAACTCTTCTTCTTCTCATTCATCGACATTCAATCAGATGTTTTCTATTGTTTGTTTAGTTTCAATTTGAGAACAACGTAAAAGAATGTGAAAAAGGTAAATATTAATATGTAATAAGAAAATAAAAGACTATTTCCAACATTTTTATTTAAAAAACTTGTAAAATTAGTATTGCTTCCTTTGTTTTAATTCTCCTTATGGGGACAAATTGGTTTGTTTTGACAAACCAGCTGATTAGTTGCAAACTTCTGCAGGAATACCGTCTGTTTACTTTTCGCATTTTCCTTGCAAAAGAGAATAAAACTACCTTACTCTCTCAGAAAGAAGTTGCTGGACAATTCCTGATGGAAAAGTAACCAGACACACCTTGAGTATTCCTGCAGAAGTTTGCAACTAATGATTTGTCAAAACAAACCAATTTGTCCCCATAAGGAGAATTAAAACAAAGGAAGCAATACTAATTTTACAAGTTTTTTAAATAAAAATGTTGGAAATAGTCTTTTATTTTCTTATTACATATTATAATTTACTTTTTTTCACATTCTTTTACGTTGTTCTCAAATTGAAACTAAACAAACAATAGAAAACATATGATTGAATGTCGATGAATGAGAAGAAGAAGAGTTGCAAGTGATTGCAAGAAGAAATTTGTCCAGCAAGAATTTGCAAACTCTCACTGAAAGAACTGTCAAAATTTCTCTCTCCAACCGCTCTCTTTTGCAGAACTTTCGGGTTAACAGACGACTTCCAGTAACAATTTGTAACAATTGTTACAAATTTTAGAGTAACCAGACACACCTTTTATTACACACATTTACATTTGAAGACCTCTAAGTAAATAATTAGGTATTTACATGTGTTTGTATAAATTCACATGATTGATGATTGTAAAGTTATTCGCACCATTTAATGGTAAACATATATGTATGTATGTATGTATGTAGGTACACAGGTGTTTGTATACAGGCGCAAAACCATAATCGAATTTTATTTGTGTATGTATGTATATACGTATATTGTACATTCATATGTGTGACGCAAAAGTCGGCATGCAATGAATTCTTCTCGTTTTTGAATAAAAACCATCAGAAAGCGATCTTCGACAAAGATGAAAACAAAAACAACAAGTGTAGACATACATAGTATGTATGTACTCGTATTTGCGTGTGTGTGTGTGTGTGTATACTTACGAGAAAATGTTTTTCTTTTTTAATATTTTCTCAAAATGGGGAATGCAAATGCGTCCAACAAGACTACCAAAATTTCGTCGATCGACGTGCCTTGCTTGCTGCTAACTGCAGGAAGTTCTTTGTGTGCCACCACCAGATTACGAATGGCCCGGGTGATTTGAAGTCCCACAGTGACGACGCAAATCACGGCTGATGAATTGATGTGGTCGTTTGGCGGTTTGCGGCGTCAGTTGGCGGTTGTCTGTGGCTACTTTTCCACTTCGTTTTACACAGAACAAGTTGCGTAATACTGCCTTCTTTCTTTCAGTGTATTTGGAATTCGCTGTGTCGCGGGTCTTTCGCTTCGGTTTGGATCAATTTATTGTTGCTTTGCTGGCGCAGCTCTGCTGCGGCTTCTTCACCCTTCAGTGCTAAATTTCCTGACCTGGAATGGAAATGCAATCGAACAGTGGCATTGTTTCAAAGCCGCTCGTATTTTTTTTCGACAATTGCCCGGGTGTTGAGGTGTGCGAGCGCCCGTATTCGTATGTGCGTTTATAGGTATGTTTATTTTTGTTTCTTATTAAATTCTTCACTTAATTCCGTCAAAAAGGCACCGATCTCCCTTAGAAATTGAAACTAAAAACGAAGGGGAAACTAAATTTATTTTGGAAATATCACCAAAAATACTGCGTTCGTTGAAAAAATTAGCTCTGTTATAAAAATAGAACAGATTCTTTGAAATTGCAACACATCGAGCAGAAGAAGTTTTCCGTTGATTCTTGACACACAATTTGCTGGGGGAACTCACAATTGCACTATGAATCGATGGAACACTTCGATTTCATACGTTTTCCGTATCTTTCGTTTAGCAATAGGATTCTAATTGGATATTCATTTTTTTTTAACGGAAATACGCTTATTTTATATGCTTTTAGTTAGCAAATCGATTTCTTAATGGCTTCTTAATTTTTGAACAATATATTTATCCCTTTCACTCTCGCTGCAGGTATATGGCGTTCCTTTGGCACGGCACGGATTCCGCTGCGATTTTCGTTGCAAACATTAGCACGCTCGGAGAAGAACTAACGTGTGGAAACTTGTGCCGCAGATCGCTTAGCCCCGAAAATGTATTTGGGAAATTCAATTTTCCTCTCGCTCTCTTTATCTGTTTTCCTATGTTTCATTTTTCCGGTATCACATTGTGAAATTTATCGACAAATCGGAAAATGACTTTGACTTTTGTTATAGCGAAAGCAAAGTTCTCCAACAATTTCAGGAGCTGCAAAAAGAAAACGTTTACAGCGTTACCTTAAATTCGGCGGAGCATACACAAATACTTAACTTCCCTACTATGGTAAAATGTCCATATCATAAAGTCTACCAACTAATAAACCATGGTAATCTCAGGCTATCATACGATTACATTTTTTTATTTTTTTGTCCCTTCATTGTCAAATGCATACTTTGTATTCTTCCTTAAGTATGGGCGTACCGCTGGTAAGAAATTTATATTTATTTTCGAACAAATATTTTTTAATTTTCACGCCTTTAGAGTATAAAAGTATAAAAGTCAAAGAAGAAAATAATTTAAAACAAGAAACTAAAATATTGGTCTGATAAGTCATGTAAAACTTAATTATATTACACTGACATCACCGAAAAAGCTTCCTAAGATGTTTGCAGCCTAAAGGGCTAAGTACATAAGAAGCTTGAAGTCATGGCTAGGCATATTAATGTCAAATTTTAATGGAAAACGACGGCTGGATTTTAGTGCGGCTCTGTAATCCCTTTGTGAAATGTCACAAAATATGCCTAGCCATGACTTCAAGCTTCTTATGTACTTAGCCCTTAAGATATGGAACGTATACGTTTTTATGTGAAAAGGAAAGCCGAAACAATTAACTTTGCACTATTGTGTTTTGACTCCCTTTCAATTTCAAATCACAATATATAGACCACGATCGAGTATATCGTATGTTAGGTAACGCTGTTACAGGCATATTTTATTATTATTATTTTTTATTTATTTTTTTTTTTTTGAAACTATTTGTAATGGCCAAAGTCGTATTAGAAATAGTTAGAACAACGGAGAAAAGATACAACAATACAAAGTGAAACCAGTAAAGAAAGTCTTAAAGTCGGGCGGGGCCGACTTTATAATACCCCACACCACTTTACTAATTTAGTAGAGCTCCGCATAACAATTAATCGTTTTCATGGGAGAATTCAACATACACGCATTCATAATTATATATAATTATAATGATAATTATAATTTAAAGTTCAAAGGACTATATATGCCGAAGCATTTGTATCTTTTAAATTCGGACTTGTATTGCCCATTTGGTGCACAATTAATTTGAAATCGGATAAAGATATATATGGGAGCTATATCCTAATCGAAACCGATTTCAATAAAATTTGGCAAAGATATTTCTGAGCTGTATTTGATATATTCCCTGAATATTGTTGTTACGGAGTGCATATTACGGCTGTGGTTAACAAATATAACAAATCGGATGGACAGTATATATGGGAGCTATAGCTATATCTGAACCGATCTTCGCCAAATTTGACGAACTAGCTTCTAGACTCAATTCGGTCGTAAGTACCAAATTCAATTCCATTTGGACAAATATTAGACGTTTGGTGCACAATAAAACGTAAATCGGTCGAAGTTTTATATGGGAGCTATATCCAAATCTGAACCGATCTCGATAAAATTTGGCATACTTATTTTCAGGTCTAATTTGGTTGTATGTGCAAAATTTCATACAATTCGGGCTGATATTACACGTTTGGTGCACAATAAAAAGCAAATCGGACGAAGATATATATGGGAGCTATATCTAAATTTTGACCGATTACCTCCAATTTCAACAGGGTGTGTCCTTGGGCCAAACAAATGATTTGTGTAAAATTCCATCTGGATAGGGCAATAAATGCGAACTGTACTTTGTTTACAAAAATAAATGGATAGACGGACGGACGGACATGCATAAATCGACTCAGAATGTGATTCTATGCAGATCATCAAAAGGAACTATGAGTCTATCTCGATTCCTTTTGCCTGTTACAAACAAATGCACAAAGACATAATACCCTGACCACCTTGTGGTGTAGGGCATAAAAAGAACATTAAGTTCGGGCGGGCCCATGGCATTTAACTCTATAGTAATACCAGTGTCAAATTCGATATGACGTTTGGTGATTCAATTTCTTTTCTTGGTGTATAGTAGGTATACACTTTTTTGATACAACACTTCTCTGTGAACATATTTTTTGCCTAATAATAGAAAAAACAAAAACACTGTTATAATTGAAAACAAGTAAAAAACATTAAGTTCGGTCGGGCCGAAAATTAAATACTCTCCACCTTAGATAAAGGAAAAATTTTTATGTAAAAGTATCTGAAGTGAAGCGTGTTTCACTTTAAACTTCATATACCAGTAAGACCTTTTGCATAATGCAGTTAAACTTATCAAAATATCATAAAGCGATTGAGGCCGTTATATGGGGCCATACCAAAACGGGAACCTCTATAGACAAATTTATACTTCAAGGACTGTCATCTATCAAATCCTCTGTAATACTAAATTTAGAACAATTATGTGGGTAAATGTGACTAGGATTATCAAAATACAGAATATCGGTGGGTATCGTTATATGTGCGCTATAGGAAAACGTGGAACTAAATATTCAATGTTCTGCCACTGGGCTAGAGCTATTATGAACTAAAAATACCAATTTTTATCAAAATATCGAATATCGACAGGCACCGTTATATAGGGGCTATACCAAAAGGTAGACCTACACATACAATATTTCGCAACAGGAGCTACAACCTAATACGAACTACAAATACCAATTTCTGGACAAATCCGCTAAAAAATGTGCAAAAATCATCAAAACACCGAATATGGGTACCCCTGTTTGGGGGCTACACCAAAACGTGGACCTACACATACAATGTTTCGCTACACAAGCTACAACCCATTATGACAACAGAATATCGAGAGGTACCGTTATATGGGGACTATACCAAAACATTGACCCATACATACAATATTTCGCCACACGAACTAAGACCCATAATGGCCTACAAATACCAATTTCAAACAAATCCGTGAAATCCGCAAAAATCATCAAAACATCGAATATCGGGAGGTACCGTTATATGGGGGCTATACCGAAACGTGGGCCTATACATACAATGTTTCGCCATATGAGCTATAACCCATTACGAACTAAAAATACCAATTTCTGGACAAATCCCTTAAAAAATATGCAAAAATAATCAAAACACCGAATATCGGGAGATACCGTTATATGGAGGCTATACCGAAACGTGGACCTATACATACATTCTTCCGGCACATGACCTAGAACCCATTATCACCCACATGACCCATTTTTTGGTCATAATGGTTTCTAATGTTTCCTTTCCCCTAAGGTGGAGGGCAATTAAAGTTCGGCCCGGCCGAACTTAATGTTTTTTACTTGTTATTCTAACTAATGGTCTGTTCCAAAAAAAAATTATTAGAAAGAATATTATTTTATATAAACACTAGCTGGCCCGGTCCGCGTTGCCGGCCCATAGTTTTTGTCTATTATGCATATTTGTCAAAGCATGATTATTCAAAGATATGAATGTTATAAATGTTCACGTACTGGTCGATTAGTTTTTAATTTTTAGTCAAATGAGCAGTAATTTGGAATTTACTGTACTTTGTACAACTCGTAATTGAGGGCTAATTGATTTAAGAATAGGCAAAGTTAATTACTTTTTTGAACCCATTAGCACCTCAGATTGTGCATTAGAGTCCTCATAAGTCCCCCTAACCATGTCGGTCTGTTTGTCCGCCAAAAGGTGGACTTGAGGGGATACTATTACATGGAGAAAATCCTAAAATTTGTAGATATGTTGAAATTTTTGTGTAAGATTTTCATCCCCAAATACTCATTTTTAGCCAAATCCTTTGAAATATGGTAAAATGCGAAACATCGACCCACATTGAAAACTTTCTTCACCCCTTATAATCCAAGATGACAAATAGAGGCCAAATCAAAAATATAGCTATTTTACATCCATTACCGTAAGATGGGAATTAATTTTATTTGCCATTTAAATTGTAAGTTGGAGTCCATATTTTTCATCATAGTATAATTTAATGACGATTCAACAAATATTCGGTCCCGTGCTAATTTCTTATATTTGTAATTTGTTCATGTTTTCACAATTTATTTCATATAGATGTATATCCCAAATCTACGTTCCCAACCAATATTCTCTTGGGGGTTACAAATTCAATAGAATACAAATTTTTCTTTTCTGACCACACATTAGATGTGAAAGTGGACTTGGGGATACTCCAATGTGGGGACTTTACATGAATAGATTTCTATGTGGCAATTATCTGTACGATGGTTCCTTACCCCAGGGTAGCATAAATAAAATTTTTTAGTGGTCAAGACCAATATGGGCCCTACTCCGAAAATTTTATGCGAAGAGGTTCTCTGCCCCCCTTAGAAACAAAGATGCCAAATAAGGGCCAAAAATAGAAGAAAATGGCGAAGGCTCCAAAAATGGCTTAAATCATACGATGATTATTTATGATCGATATCATGACCTGCTAAAGCGATTTAAGGTATCTTAAATGTTCAGGCAGAATTTTTGGAAGGATAGAAATCCTTTTCTTACTAAAAGTCCCATTCGCTCTACTATTTTGCACCCTTTATATTTGGTATTTTACTGATTGTACTCCCAAAAATTTTTGCATTTTTAGCTCTCATTGGACGGACTATTGTCACATGAAAGAAGTAGGGCCACGCTTTGAAATAAGCCCCATTAGTCTTTTTCGGTCATTTTTGTTTGTTTAAATGTCTGCGCATCTTCCAGCTGAAGCACGATGTAGGCCCTGGAGTTGAAAGGTAGATGTCAGTTACCATCGTATTTCGCACTTATTTCATTTTTTTGGTGAAAAATTGTATATAGTGAAAAATTATTCTTTATTTTGTTCACAAAAAATCCACTGAATTCAATATGATATTACAAATTGACAAAAAAAGAATAACAAATTGAAAAAATCTTT